TGTAGGAAGGAAGGTTTACCTCGGCTGATGACTCTTAGAGAACATTTCATGCTGGCTATTTACATAATCTCAAAGCCCGAATCTTTGCTCAAATTCAAACAAACTGGCCTGAGTCCTTGGGCTGGATGGAAGAAATTCTCACGATATTGTACCAAGAGCAAGCTGCTGAGATTTTCTTTAGAAAAAAAAACAAAAACAAAGGAAGAACTCAATCTTTTAAGAGGAAAATGAAAAGGAAGGTAGGGGATAAGCTCTATGCAAACAGGAATGGCTGAGTATTGTAAACTAATCTTTTCATTTTATTCTTACGGCCGAATGGTTCACTTGTACTTGTTGCTGCTGTTTGCTTCTATAGTTCAAAAGCACTGTTGCAGAGTTCAACCCAACTCTTCATGACCCTATAGGACAGAGCAGAACTGTTCCTGTGGGTTCCTAGGGCTATACATGGTTAGAGGGGCAGAGAGACTCAACCTTCTCCTTAGAGGAGCTGGTGGATTCAAACAACTGACCTTGCAGTTAGCAGTCCAACACGCAACTCACTATGGCAGCGAAGGTTCTGGCTTCTGTTGAGTTAGCTTCAAATCCTGGAGACCCTACTAGAAATGTTGTAGGCCTCTGTACCATCTTAATGATCATTGATATTTATTTACTAAAGTATAGTTACTTTAACTGTACTTACTAAATCAAAGGTAAGGTCTACAAACATAACTTTTGCAGCAAACCACATCGCAGTAGCCAAATCTTTTGCATCCAAGTACATCCTTCAATAGGCTGTATGTCCTCCACACCCAATCTCCTGTTTGGAGCCTTGAAGCACCAGCCTCTGGTTATCTTCCTTTAAACATCCCCAATCCTTTACTCTCTTGATGTTAGGACTTAGTCGGCCACTTCTGTCAAAGAAGTTTCAGCCACTAGTGGCTGGTCCTGGAGTGAAGATCAAAGCAAAAACGCAGAGTATTTTCTTTTTAAACAGGGCGGAATCCTTCATCTTCACTGACACTACCTTTGAAAACATTTCAAAACATGTTCATGCTGTCACGTGGACAAAGCCTCATTATGCAGTACAAAGGCTTTGGGCAATCAGCTCCTTCAAACTTAACTAGTGAAGGAATTTTTGAAACTAAATAGATGAAGTCAAATATGACTGTTGAATGGAGCTACCGGCCAGTTACTCTGCTGGTCTACACTACACTAGTGTGAATATACACCAATACAGACACAGGGCTGCCCCCCCCCTTCCCAAATCAGAAACACAGCAGTTGAATAATACTTGTTCAGTGCGATCACGTCAGTTCCAACTCACAGTGACCCTAGAGGGTAGAGCACACCTGCCACATGGGGGTTCCTCGGCTGGAATCTTTGGGGGAGCAGATTGCCAGGCTTTTCTCCTATGGAACTGCTAGTGGTTTCAAACCCCCGACCTTTGGGGTAGCAGCCGAGTGCTTTCCCATTGTGCAACCAGGGCTCCTGGTGGGTACTGAAATGTGACTGAAAGGCTCACATTCCAGAAGCACTCAGAGAAATCGTCACTGCTACTCCCCTTCTCCCCTCACTTCTGAGGTCAGAAATGGGGGCTCAGAAGCCAGGAGCTGAGGAGTGACTTGTTTCTGTCCATGTAGCGGTGGGAAGAGAAGACCAGCTTTCCTGCCTTCCAAGCCAAGATCGGCTTCCTGAGAAATGATCTGCTTAGAGAAAGGAGTGGCAGCTATGCACTCTGGGTACAATTCAAAATCCCTGCTTTTGTTTGGCTTCAGTGGAGCTCTGGGACCAGGCCCAGAACATCTTTAGAGGTGGGGCCTGTGCAGGCTTCCTGCCTTCTACAAACTCCTGCAATTGAGAATCCCTGCATTCCTGAGTCCCACCTTAGATCTTTTCTAGAGCGCCACCTTCACCTCTCCATTTTGCAAGAGCAAGAGGCTTGCTCAACTGCCCCCAGCGATCCCCAAGTTCACAGTTTAAAGTGGTAACTGAACTGCTGCTGCGAAAGGCAGCCAGAGTGACTACTGAATAATTGCAAGCCAGACTCTGGACCACTGAGCAAGTTGTTTCAAGTTTCAGACAAGGGGCCCATCTTAATGAGCCCATTCCCGCTCCATTTTCTATCCCCTTCCTGCAGCGAACATTAAACATTCACACACTCACACACACCTGCCTCTCCTTCAACCAGAACTCATACAGGGCACTGGAGTGTGGTGGTTGAGCGACTGCTCGGGAGGCAAAAAGCCTGAGCTGGGATCCTACTTAGGCCTCCTACTAGTTGTGTGGACGTCATTTTACTCTCTGTGCCTTCTATTTACCCATCGAGAGGCAGTCTCTTGACTAGAAATAGCCAACCTCCATAATAACCTGTAACTCCCATAAAGTCTATTCTACCAATTTAAAATGTCATGGAAAGATTCCATTATTTTTCAATTTCATTGATGCACAAACTTTTGAAGCAATCTCATATCAGAGGTACAGACAATAGTCCTTCTAACAAGCATGTGCTACTGGGAGACACACAACTGAACCTGTCATTGTGTATTGTTACAAAATTGTTCTGTCAAGTATGTGTTAGTGTATCTGGGAATATTTCTTTAATGCCTTTTATGAATTGGCATGTACACTATATACTAAGACCAACATTTGACTGACATACGCACTTAAAATTTGATGTGAAAACACTCCGGAATGGAACACCTTGCAACCCAGAGGCTGCTTGTGTAGAAAGAATCCATTTTATATGCTCCATGTGAGGATTAAGAGAGCATTTAAAACAGCATCAGATTGCACTTAGTAGTAAGTGTTACTTTTAGGGAGTAACTAGGCACCTAAGAAACATCTTAGAAGCAAACAAAGCCTTCACTGCAGGGAGTGAGAACTTGAAGGAAACTGTATTCAATTGATAATGTTGCAGAAGTTAGCCTTTTGCACTTTTTTTCTAGTGTCAATTTATTGTCATTTGCCCCTTAGAACTTTGTCTTTTTAGGTTACTTAAACAGGGCGACATTGCTTTGCCTGCTCTCACAATTGTATCCGTGAGCATTCTGTTTGACACACAGTGAGACCACTGGGCCACTGAAGGGGTATTTATGTTTTCCTCAGAACTAATCTCCAGGCAGGAATACTAGTCATCAAAGTAGTAATATCAAAGGGCTGTGAAGGGTTCTGGAGGGAAGGAAACCTGAGGAGGATAAAGCTTCTCAATAGACCAGATGAAGACACTGCCTGCCAGGAGGACTCTAAGCTGGATGATTCAGTGGAGCCCCCACCGCCCTGCTCCCAGTGCATCAGAGGTGGGAAGAGGAGACCTCTCACTGCTCAAGTACAAGAAGACAAAAACCATACTGGCACCATTTTGGGGGGTGGGGTGTGTCTTTGTTACTGAAATCTCTCCCCTTTCCCCTCTCCCCTATATTTTGCAAGACTTAAAACTCCAGGTGTTTCAAGAGAGCTCATTATTTTGGCAGGCCACCTTTTTCTCATTTTAATCAATCTTCCCTCTGCCAGTGGTTCCTAAACATGCCTGCCCTATAGAATCACTGGAAGATTGTGCTTTTTTAAAAAGCTCAGATAGTTAGGTCTCACACAGGGCCAATTAAATCCGACTGTCAGGGAGTGGAAGCCAGGCATCATTTGTTTTTTTGTTTTGTTTTGAGGTAATTCCAATGTGCAAAAAAGTTTGGGAAGCACTGCCCTAAGCCGTAACCCTCCCCCAACAAATCACTCACCACCAAACCCTATGTCAATGACGTCAACAGCAAGTATGGGCCTGACTCCTGGAACACGGGCTTCTCGATTTTGAAATTGTGCAAGCAAACTTCGGAGGCATGGTTCTTGTGTCAAATGGGTTTATGGTTGGTAGTCACGAAGCCAGACTCGCTCCTGTTCAGTGTGGACAGCGGGCACAAGGGCCATGGTTACCGAGCGAGTGTTTTCCCCCTCCCATTAAATTCACAATGTTGAAAAGGAAAGCGGCCCAAAGAGACAATCTTGGGGAAAGTGTTCTGAGAGTCCTACTTTGAAAAACCAAACCGCGGGATCAGAAAGAAGGTCGGTCTCTGCGGCTGCCCACAGCAGCCAGTCCAGCCCCACCGCGAAGGGCACACAGGAGGGCGAAGTGTTGCCCAGGTGAGGGCAAACCTTGGGTTGTTCCCGGAACACTTGACAGGGTGAGCTGAGAGGAAGCCAGGCTTGCCAGGCAAGAGAATGGCATGTTGGGTGAGCAGACACAGGGACTGCGCATCCCAAAGGCGGCTTCAACCTAAGCCCCACTGATATACGTAAGAAAACGAACCCCCCAACTCCCATGGCTGGCGACAGAGTTCTCCAGGCCTCCCCTAGGCACGGCGGAGCTACACACCCTGCACGGGAGCTTGCAGGGACCTGCGAGTGGGATCGACTCACGCTGGCGGGGCGGCTCCGGGGAGCAGGTTTCAAGGGTTTGGCGTGGGTGCCAGGAAGGGTGAGGAGTGTCCGCTGGGGAAACCGCACGTCTTAGGAGGTCAAGTGTAGGGGGTAAATTCCCACGAGTCCTTCCTCAACTTTCTTCAGCCCCACAGCCTCGGAGAGTTGGGGACGTGCCCGCTCCCCGGACGGCTCCAGCTGGCCAGTCCCGTCCCCCGGCCCGACCGCACCCCTTGGCTGGCTCAAGTGCCCGAATGCCAGCCGCCGCAGCTCCAAGAATCAGAGCCCAATAGTAGCGACCGCCGCGCACGAAGTCGCCCACCTCCAACCTCCCGCCGCACGGTTGGCAGGACGGAAAGTTGCGCCGACGTCGGGGGCTTTCCCCGGCTGGTACCCTCGGCGCGGGCACAGCCCCGCTGCCCGGCACCGCGCGGCCCCGGCTCGGGCCACAGTCGGCTCGCCCAGCCCAGAAACGAAAGGTCCCGGTCCCCCCGCAGCTGATCCTCCAGGAAACAGGAAAGGAGGGGCCGCCGGCGCGGGAGCCGAGCCGGAGCCGGGGCGCCGGGCAGCGCGGGGTGGGCGCCGAGGTGGGTGCCCCCGGAGCCCGCCCTTACCTTTCTTTTCCTCCAGCGTCGCACTCGCCTGGAAGTGCGCGGCCAGCAGCGCCAGCAGCGCGGCGCTGGCCGCCCCGGAGGCTCTCATGGCCGTGCCCGCGGCGCCGGCGGGGGCTCCGCACTTA